TTCCAGGTGGACTTGATGGAGTGGTCCATCATGAGGCTGAGCAGGTTCTCCTCGCCCTGCAAGAGCTGGTCTGACAGGAGGCTGGCGGAGGGGTTGTGGCTCTCTCCGGATAGAGACCACTGGCTCAGCATGTTATCTGCCGTGATGTGAACCGACTGAGCCAGCCAGCTGTCAAAAAGCGAACCATCCAGTGGGAAGGATTTGGAGAAACCTGTGGAAGAGATATACATTCAGTCCGTGTCCAACCCAGCTACTACCAACCCTAAATCAAACACATCTGAACCAGCCAATCAAGGCGTCCAGAGGCCTGTTGCATGAAGCCGGTTTCGGTTTTCACCCACGCAAGTTACCCTGAGAGATCGTAAACTTAAACTGGACCAATCAGCTGTGAGGAAAGTGGCATACATCTGATGCAATAAAGACACTCCCCCTCTATCTCTCACTCCTAATTAAAGCAGCTCACAGTGAAAGAATTTTAAAGAGAAAATTGCGTCTTTTGCTGCTAATTATTATATTAATATTATATGAATTATGATCATTCATAATTCAAATAATTACTATATGAACTGGCAATTAATATTAAACTGAATTTAAATTAAATATATACACAAATACGTTTTAATATATAAAGCTTTTAAAATGGCTAAACTTATGCGTTTTCTTTGGAGCTCTTTGTGAAACTATATAAATGATTAATAGATTAAATTATTTATTTATTATAAATTCAGTTGATTCATTTGCATTTTCTCTCTGCCGCCTTCTCAAAGTTTTGCTGCAGCAACAGTGTTAATTCCTGCCTTGTAAATGCATTTAAATAATAATAACGACATCTCTTAATCTTCAGCAGAGAAGTGAATTGCACCGACTCTCGTGAGAAGTGAATCAAACTGATGCTCAGTGATTGGCTGTTTGCTGCACGCGCGTCAGAGTTAATCACAAACTCTGGATCAAACTCTTGTGTTGACAGAGAACGTTTATATCGAGCTTTGTGAGCCCGCTGAACC